AACTGGGGATTGAACTCAGGCCCTTGTGCTTGCCAGGGAAGTGCTTATTCTACTGAGCCATCTCCCCAGCCCCCACTTGAAGTCTTATCCACTGTAAATAAAGCTGCTCACATTATGGAAGTGGGGAAGCAAAGAGCAGGGAGGGTATTACCCCTCCAAGCCACACCCCTAGTGACTCACCTCTTCTGACCAGACCCCATCTCTATCTGCAGGTCAGATATGTGGCTCGTATGTGTCAGTCACCTTCCTAGAGCTCTGCCTGGGAGCACAGGAGATCTTTGGGGTGGGGGGAAGTCTTGATCTAAAACCATAACAAGAGCTTAGTATTTAGCAAGACGGTGTCACCAAAAAAGGAAGGGGATGAGGAACAATGTAAAGGCCCTGGGTTCAATCCTCAGTACTACAAAAACTTTTTTAAAAAATTAAGAATGAGGTTTCTCTACAAAACTGTGATTTTTTTTATTCACAATATTTTTTTCTTCTTTTTGAGCACTAGATTTTTGTTTGTGTACAGCAAAATCGTCATGGATGTTTCCAAGATTTGGCTATCACAAATTGTGCTGCTATAAACATAGGTGCACATGTGTCATTATAATATGAGGTTTTCAGTTCTTCTGGGAAAATTCCCAGGAGGGGAGTAGCTGATTTGAAAGGGATTTCCAGTCCTAGTTTTTTGTTTTTTGGTTTTTGGTTTTTTTTAATTAATTTATTAATTTATTTATTTATTTTGTATGTGTGTGGCCAGCTCAGCCCACCAGGGGGCAGGGCTGGCTGGCATGTGGTGCTGGGGGATTGAACCTCAGTCCCTATGCTTTGTTTGGCTTAGTTTGTTCTAAGTAGGTGCTTTAGACCACTGAGCCATCTCACCAGCCCCAGTCCTAGTTTTTAAGGGAGTCTCCACACTGATTTCCATAATGATTGCACCAATCTACAGCTGCACTGGGGATAGCAATGTGTACTACTAGGGTCATTCTTGGAATGCCTGTCATTCTGGGTTTCTAAATATGTACTGTTTGTCATGTCATACCAATTACTGCCATACTGTCTCTCAAGTAAATGTTTGTTTAAAAAAAAAAAAAGAGGGCTGGTGAGATGGCTCAGTGGTCTAAGGCACCTACTTAGAACAAGCTGCAACAAAGCATACGGACCGCGGTTCAATCCCCCAGCACCACATGCCAGCCAGCCCGGCCCCCTGGTGGGCTGAGCTGGCCACACACAAATAAATAAAATTAAAAAAAAAAAGAGAGGGTAATAAACAAAAACAAGAGACAAAAAATCATCATGGAGTTTGTCTTCATTAAGCCAACTATGCTTTGGCCTCTTTCCATGTTACTGCATCTAAATTTATCTCATTGTTTTAATTTTATTTAAGAATTATTTATTTATTTATGTATGAGACAAGGTCATCTTGAACTGAGTATGCAGCCCAGTCTGGTCTCAAACTCATGATGATGTTCCTGCCTCAAGAGTGCTGGGATTACAGGCATGCGCCGCCACACCTGGCTTCTAATTTTTATTTTGGATATCAGTGTACAGATGTGAGGCACTGTTGTCATCCACCCATATGTTTCCCTTTTTTTCCTTTCTTTTCTTTTTCTTTTTTTTTCTATCCTGGGCATAATAGTCAAAGCATGGTGCATGCTTTCCAACTGAGCTACACCTCAGCCCTCTGTGGTTCTTTTTTATTCACCCATTCTTTCACTCGTTCATTCATTTTTCAATGAGATGAAGAACCTTTCCTTCCTTCCACATAGTACTGTGGCTCTGCAAGCCCCCACAGGCAGGGCCTGGCCTGACACCATGCTGGCCCTTTGCTCACTGAGGAGAGTGGGTGTCAGCGTCCCTCACTCAGTTCTGCCCAAACTCACTTTTACTACAGGCACTGCCCAGGGCCTGGCACAAATGTGAGAGGACCTGTTTATTTGTGTGTTTGTTTTTGACAGAAATTTATTATTGGCAACTTCTTTGTCTGGAAATGTCAATGTAGCTTCAGATTTCCCTGGAGTAAATGGAGAGCTTGGTTCCCTCCTTGAAGATTTGGAGCATGAGGAAAATAATTAATTTGACTACAATTACCATAGATTTAAATTTTTTGTTTTAGCTGGCTGGGGTTGTAGCTCAGTGGTCGAATGTGTGCTTAGCATGTGCAAGGCTCTGGGTTTGATCCTGAGAACCAAAAACCCCACAAACTTCTTGTTGTTTATTTGGGTTATTTGGCTTGAGATTTTCTCAGTTTGTTTGATTGATGATATAAAAAGTTTAACAAGCAGAGTTGCACAAACAAGATAATAGTTGGAATAATTAAATAATTAAAGTAAAAAATGTTGTCTAGAATTATTTTGAAATTACTTTAATCGTATTCCACCTACCCACACTATACTAATTGCATTTCCTCCTCAATTCTCTTAGGTATTTTGTAAAATACATACTTATGTATTAGAAACTTTTCAGACATTTGTAAAGGAACTTATAACTTTATTTTAAACTATTGAAGGGCTTCCTTGTTGATCAGTGTGGGGAACCTTTGTGTGTATGTGTATGTGTTACTGGGTTTCATTTAGTTATATCCCCACCCTTTTTTTTTTTTATTTTGAGATAGGATCTTGATTTTTCCTAGGTGGGGCTGGAATTTTCAGTCTCCTGCCTTAACTTCCTAGAGCTGTAGGATTACAGGTGTACGCTACCACACCCAGCTTCATGGGAGCTCTTTTGAAGCAAAGAGTTGTGACTTGGATACTTAACTTAGTACATTTTCACAGGATCATTGGGACGCGATTCATCAAAAGTCTTGGCCTACAGGAGTTCGATATTGCTAGGAATGTTCTAGAACTGATCTATGCACAAACTCTGGTGTGGTAAGTTTTGAGCTCTCTGGGATTCCCTGGTCAGCTCCTATTTGACTTAGAATTTTGGCGGCAATGTCCCAATATGTTGTTTTGAAGCTGACACCAAACCCAGCTAGGCTGAGAGCTATCAGTTTTGTTTCTAGTCTATAATTTTAGTCTAGTCTATGAGGGCTTCTGATATGAATCAGAATAGAGCAGGCCCCAAACTGAAGGCCCACAGGGTGGCTGTATGTAGTGCATGGATATGATTCATCTGACCCACACAATGCTATTTGTAACAATTTGAACCATCCCCTGTGTGGTATAGTAGAAATGTTTGTGTCCCTCTAAAATTCCTCTGTTGCCATCTCATTGACACTTTGAGGCTAGCAAGAAGACACCAGCTTGGAAGCAGGAAACAGCCCTCACCAGACACTGAATCTGCCAGTCCTTGATCGGGGACTTCCCCACCCCCAGAACTGTAAGAAATAAACTTCTGTTGTTCCTACACTGACCAGTTTTTGGTATTTTGTAATAGCAGTATGAGTAGACTAAAGCAACCACCAATTCTAAAAAATCGGGAGAGTTCATACTGCCTTTAAGAGTTTATACTGCCTTTAAATGCCTGGCTTCTCTCCAGAAGACCTGGCCCATCTCCCATCGTGGGAACACTCTGGTGGGCCTTCAAGGAGAGCATCTCCTGTTTGCCTGTTTCCATCTTAATTTGCTGTTTCCCCAACACTGATTTGACATTTCTCCTTGTTGTGTGCTGACAGTGGAAGACTTTACTTTGCATCTATACCTCAACAGAAACTAGAGAATAAAGAAGGGAGAGAGGACCAGATGTTTCTTATACTTGACCTGGCCTGCTACACCTATGTAACACCTAGTGGGGTCTCTGTGGCCTTTGGGAGCCACAACTTCTATTCTAGAAAATACGTGTGTACATGTATGTGTAGGGAAACCAGCTAGAGAATTGCATCATGCACCAATTGTTGTGTGTTGTAGTTGTTGTTCTTGGGACCAAACCTTTAATTCTAGGGTCTTGAGCATGCTAGCTAAGTGTTCTCCTCTGGAGTTATGCCTCCAGCCCCTTGCAACAACTTTTGTATATTTCCTCACTTAGAAACTTGAAATCAGTAGCCAGTGAGTCTTTTTCCTTATGTATTTTATCATGATGGAGCTAATGCCAGAATTCTGTGTGGTGTTACGTGCCCAGGTCCCACCTGCCAATGGAAAGCAGTGCAGTTAGGGTTGGAAACCCAGATCCTGGGGTTAGCTCTTCCGTTCACTAGGGCCCCAATCTTCTCTGAGCCTCAATCTCTTTGTTTGTAAAATGTGCATAATAATACTGTAGTTGATAATAATAAGTAGTGTTGAGAAGTAAATATGATTATAGATCAAATGAGTTTGACATTCCAACATACCGTGCAACTGGAAATCTTGTTTTCTCAATTTTTAATAAAGTTGCTTGGGTGACCTGGCTGTCTGCAGATAGCTGACTCATATCATTGGATTCATTTTAGAGAGAGGACTTTTCATTGTCTTTTAGGTGATGTATATACGTGACTTCCTGGTTACCCACTGGCAATTTAATAGATTAAAAGGGACTTCCACCCACATTATGTCAACCAGTAGAATTCCTATGGGAAAGTTCACATGTAGAGATAAGAATATGTACTTCACTGGCTTTTAGAGAAGATTAAATGAGAAAATATATACACTTAAATGTTCAGTAAAGAAAATAAAACAAAAGAAAAAATGCTGAGTGAGCACCTGACTCAGCAATGTTTTATAAGTGGGGACACTATGACCATTGTTTCCTTATGGGCCTTTATACTGAGCTACATAGCCAATTCTCTATTGAAAAATATTTTTATTTTGAGACAGGGTTTCACTAACCAAATTACCCAGGATGGGCTCAAACTTTTGATCCTCCTGCCTCAGCCTCACAAGTTCTAGAATTATAGGCACCAACATGCCCAGTTGACTTCTTTTTAACTCAAATACATTTTTAAAGGAGCCTTTATTTTATGATCATAATATAGGACCACTTAAATCACAAGTGCCTGGAAACATAAAAGCAATCCTGTCCTACATGGTCCTTAAATTCTATCTAGGTACTGCTGTCTGCTAATACTCTCAGTTTTGGCTTTAGAAACTTTTTAGAAAAGGCGGAGGCTGGAAAGAGTTGGGAGTTAAAGTCATTTTAGCACAAAACTGAAATTTCCCTCAGAAACATCATAGAGAATTTGGAAAGTAAAGCCTTTCTCATTTGTAACTTGGGCACCTTCCGGCCTCGTCCCTGAAGGACCCTAGACCTTCCATAAAACCTTAGGGCATGCTGAAGGTGTGGTGGCTTAGTGGCTGCTTGGCAGTCTCTACAAATCCTCCTCTCCAGAGCTGGGTGGAGAACCACTGTGGATGCTGGATATAGGGAGTTGTTTAGAGCAGCTGTGATGCAAGCAGTCTCCCTGTGTCCATCTTTTATGGCTACCAGGACAACATTCTACAATTTGGGCAGTGTAAACCACAGAAATTTGCTTTAGTTGTTCAGAAGGCCATAAGCCCAAGATTAGGGGTTGCAGGGTTGGTTTCTTCTCAGGATCAAGAGGGAGGGATCTGTCCCAGACTCCTCTCCTTAGCTAATAGGCAGCTGTTATCTCCTTGTGTCCCTCACGAGATCATGTCCTGATCTTCTCTTTTAGGGACACCAGTTATGCTGAATGAAGGCCCACACAGTAACCTCATTTAACTTAATTACCATTTTAGATCCCCTGTCTCCAAGTGTATAGTCACTGTCTGAAGTATCAGGAGATAGGATTTCACCATCTGATTATTATTATTATTATTGTACCAGAACTTGAACTCAGGATCTCATTCTTGCCAGGCAGATGCTGAGCTATATCCCCAGCCCCACCATATGACTTTTAGGGGGACATAATTCAGCCCCTTTTCCCTTCCTCTACCACCACCACCCCTCCCTACTCCTCATGTCTCCCCTGGTCTCTAACATTCATTATCTTTTCCCCCATAGGATTGGGATCTTCTTCTGCCCTCTGCTGCCCTTGATCCAAATGATTGCTCTCTTCATCATGTTTTACGTTAAAAATGTGAGTCAGTCCCAGATTGGGACCAGTCAGCTTCTCAGTCTCATGGGGCCTGGTGGCAGTTAGAACTAGGGCAGAACGCTGGGAAGGGACCCTGAAGCCAGAACCTGGTGCCTCCCTCTGGGTGTTCCTCTAGCCACAGAAGGGAGGACACCGTGTCTTCCTCCTCAGATCAGCCTTATGATGAACTTCCAGCCTCCGAGCAAAGCCTGGCGGGCCTCCCAGATGATGACACTCTTCATCTTCTTGCTCTTCTTCCCATCCTTCACTGGAGTGCTCTGCACCCTGGCCATCACCATCTGGAGGTAGGACATGATGACCTTTAGAATCTGGGTAGGTTGGCTTAAAAATGTAGGTTTTGGTAAATGTAGATATGGTAAGGTTCAGTTGCTAGGAGGCAAGTACTGTTGAAATCATAGTTTGTTAACAAGGGCAGGGGACACTGTGCACCATGCAGGAGAGTGCAGGGAAGGACCAGGGCTGGTCGGGAGGTAGAGGGAGGGGAGATGTGCGCAAGAGCCTTCACTGATAAGGAACAGATGTGACAGGGTGGGTGGGCTTAGGCTTTGGTAGGCCAAATAATTTCAAGGAGCTCTGGGGTCTCAAGGATGTCTTGAGTTGTCTGGTACCTAGCCTTGGGGTGGCTGGGGCAGGGGAACAGTGGCCCAGAGAAATAATGAAGGCCTTGGATTGACTGATCCACATAACTGACCCTGGGAAGAACCATCCCCTCTGAGTCAATAGGACCCCAGATGTCAAGACATCAGAATTATAAAAAACAAAACAAAAAAGAAGACATGGTTTATAGGATGCTCATGGTCTCTAAAACCAAGGAAAAAAATAATTCCTACTCTGAATTTATTCCATCCATCAGATGCTCATAATCCTGAGGCATGTCAAGATGGTAGAGACCAATTCTTCCCTGTGGAGAAATGGACCTTTGTCTAAGTTAACCAGAAGCCCCTGGCTGCCCTGGCTCCTCCCTACCTCTCCAACCTAACTACACTGGGGCTCTGTAACTGTGACCCCATCACCCCTCCCAACATGGGCCTGGTCCTCCCTTTGAAATGCCTCCCCACTTGCCTGGCTGCCTTCATTCTACTCTGATTCTCAGCTCCAAAGGTAGCTCAGGCCTTCCCATCATCCTTGTCTGCCATCAGCCTCACTTCCTGTCTTTCAGGGCTGAGTTTTTTTACATCATCCTATTATTTATAGTCAGAAATGCCTTTGTTTGAGTCTTTGTATACTTATTTACTCATGAATTATCCATCTTTCCTATTAAATATAAACTCAAAGGGCTGGGGAGATGGCTCAGTGGAATAAGCGCTTCCCTGGCAAGCGCAAGAGCCTGAGTTCAATCCCCAATTCAAAAAAA